AGGTTTATTAAGGAAGTTAAGTTGTAATGCCAGTGAGAAATGCTCACATTGAGTTGTTTATCAGTACATGGTACAAAGTTTTGTCAAGTCTGCTAATAAATACCCAAAAGGCATCCCATTCTGCTATAAGCTTCAACCTGAAGGCATTCAGCTTAAACTCCTTAGGTCGGCAAACGCAGCTCTCTGAAATAAGTGCTCAGCGGTATCCGGCTCCACAAGCCAGCACACCTTGCTCTGTGGGTTTAGAAATTCACTGTAGTCCGTGCTCTGGCTTTTGGTTCTACTGCTGCTCCTCTGGGGGTACAGATGTCTTCTGGAACCAAGAGGTCCCCTGCATTGGGATCTGGAGCCCAGAGGGTGTACCCCACTTGCTGGTCATGAGACGCCTCTTCTCACAGGGCTTACTTAGTACACAGCAGGATGGCACTCCAGGGAGTCTGTTTGCACTTACTCACAGGAGAATCCTGTCAGTATCCGCCCCCACTTTCTAATCCAGACCCACGAAGGGAAAGGTCCTTTGTTGGGCGTTAAGAACTTGGATTAGAAGAGTCACATTAAATAATTCACTGCCACTGCACACTGGATGCACTGCTGTTGGTTGGCACCTACCCAGTCGTGCCCCAAAAGGTCTAGGGGTCAGCTGCCAAGCAGTCACAGCTCTGTGGAGCAGCTCTGCTTTGTACACCTGTGGACACCAGGAGTTGGGCTGGACTCCGTGGCAGTGTTCAGACCATCTTTACCTACAGGTTTTACCTCTGCATTTACTGGTTGATCCCTTCTTTTTAAATGCATGCTCTCATCCAGAATCAGCAGTGTTTATTCTTTTCTTGTTGGTCAGGAAGCTGTAAAAAGGAACCCGTTTTATTTATTTATTTGTTTGTTTGTTTGTTAATCATTTTATCGGGGGCTCGTGCAACTCTTATCACAATCCATACAAACATCCATTGTGTCAAGCACATTTGTATATTTGTTGCCATCATCATTCCCAAAACATTTGCATTCTGTTTGAGCCCTTAATATCAGCTTCTAATTCTCCCCGCTCCCCCCTCCCTCATGAACAATTGATAATT